GATTCGGTCCGATCTTGAATCGGTCCGGTCCCAATTCAGTCTCGATTTTAGAATGTGTTTGTGGGTATTTGAGTGGCTTAGGGGGGGGGGGGGGGGGGTTGAGTGGCGTAAGGCCTGAAAAGGTGAGGAGGTTAAATTTTGGGTGTTGGGCTCTCTGTTTTCGGTCCGGTCCGAAACAAATTTTGTTTTTTTACCTCAAATCTAGACTCGAAAATTGGATTTGATTTTTTATCTTAATAATATAATCATAATATATATGGAATCTATCATATTAGAAATTTGTAACTTAGATCTCGTAATTAGTTACTTTAATCATCTTAAAAAAAAATACAGTTAGAATCCGAATACGAGACTGATCATGGTGCATGCAGCAAGCTGTGTTCGGATTTTGCTCTATAAAACCCATCGATCAGTTACCCAATTTATTCAGCCGGAAGGAGAAGAAGCTATAAACATGGCCGCCGCTGCCGCCGCGACCTCAATCACCGACCTGCCAGAGCCGCTCGTCCTCCGAATCCTGTCCGACCTCCCTTTCCCGACCGTCGCCAAGATCTGCACGACGAGCAAGAGACTCTACTCCGCCTGGAACCAAATCCCCCACCTCCACTTCTCACAATTCCACCACCGGGACCCGCCGAGCTTCGCCAGCTACGTCCGCTCCACCATCCGCCGCCGCCCACCGGGGGTCAAGCTGGACGAGCTCCCGCCTCCGGTTCGTCGATCCGGACGACTCGCTCTGCCGCGAGGCCGTCGACTACGCCGTGGCCCACGGCGTCGAGGAGCTCCGCCTGACCCTCGCGGCCGCGTATAACCGCGGACGCTACCACGAGGGCGGTGGGCCCGCTGCAAGCCAGGTGGCGGTCCACGTGAGATCGGATTGGGACTTGGGTGTAATTATTAATTAATTAATTCGGTGAGCAGAGATGATGAGAGACTCCAAAAAGATATAATTAGTCTTATAGATATATATATATATTTTTTTTGTTTTTGTATGAAAGTGTTTTAGATTGCTTTTTATATGTGGTCTATTTGGCCAATGAATTATATGAAGGGTAATGAATTATCCCTGTGATTTGATCTCCGGTGAGCTTTTTTCCACTCCTTTTTGGATCTCTCCGCGACGTTTTCGATCTCTGCCCCGGTTGCGGATTGCTGAAATCTAGATCTTGAATGGAAGGCAAAAGGATGCTCTGGTTCTGTTGATTGGGAGTCTGAGATGCGACACTTTGAATAAGCTCTGGGGTGTTTTTTCATGGAGCTTTTTCTCTGCTACACTGTTGCAACGAACGGTTTTGAAAATAGGTGGATATATAGAATCCTGTAAAAGCCAAACCAAAAGGAAGAAGATGGAAAAAAAGAGAAAGAGAATAAGTAACTCGAGGCCATTGTTATAAGAACTGAACTAGATCAACGGGTGGGCCAGTAAAATCGTCAAACCAGTTACGATAGCAGTTCAGTTCATTGTTTAGGCGGTTATTGATGGACCAAACGGTTTCTCACAGTTCAGCATAAACCAAGATGAACCACCACGGTTTAAGTGGTCCATTGGTTCACACATTTTAACCACAAATTTTATTAAAAAAAATATTTTAACATAAAGTAAGACCATTACACCAGAAATATTAATTTTGTTGTTGCTTCCTCATCTCATTTTCTAACCTCATTGTCGACTTTACATGGTCCACTACCGACTGGCACCGTAATATTTAACTGGAATTAAAACAAATTATGATTTCTTTTGTGAGACGGTTTGAATGATTTGTTAGATATTTTGGTGATGATATAAGAATTTGAAATTATTTATGGTCAATGATAACTTCATTTTAAATTAGTGTATTATACAAGTTTTATATGTTATATATCATAAACGGCTCACCAATAGTTAACCGCTGAACCCTTAATTACTCCCTTTTCCGGTTCAATATCCTGTCTGATTCTAAAAACAAGACTCGAGGCCCACAAAATCGCTATAATTACATCAGACCACCAATATTTTTGTTTTACCTTTAATCTCATCGTATTTATTATTAATACTTTATAAAATAAGGAGTAGGAACTAATTTCATAAAACGCTAAATTTAACTCACCGGCATAGTGAAATTTTACTACATTTAACCTGCGGGATTAATTTTCATTTTGTAAAACAAAGGCTTTCATCTCTTTCTTCTTTTCGACCCAAAAGCCGAATACCAAAATAATTTACCATCTCCACGAAACAACTATACATATCTATAATCAAGTGGAGAATAGAGGATTCGTTGGTGGAAGGTCGCAATGCTTCACTCCTTTGAACGATGAAAATTTTGTGGATGACCAGTTGACCATGCACAACAAAAACGCACCAACCCGCAGTGGGGTACGTAGTGGATAACCACTGACTGTGGCCGAGTGGTTTGTAGTTAGCATAATCATGACTTCCTGGTTAGTAGTTAGCCACAAAATGCGGAGTGGGTATTCACACACCTACCTCAATTTCCACAATGTTAGCATGCTATCATTTCCCCTCATGAGTACAATGCTTCATATTATCGGTGTTTTTGTTATAAAAAAAAGGGTTAATACCCTAGTTTGGCTTGAAGTTTAACGTAAGTGACAATTCTGGCCTCATTTTCCTAATAAGGCATTTGTGGCCTACTTTTAAAATTATTGGACAAATTTGGCCCAAAACTTGTGTTGACTGTTAACATTAACGGTCAAATATTTATTCCGTAAAATGATTCAGCATCCTATGCTGAAGTGGCAATGATGTGGCTGCCATGTCATTTTTATTTCAATTCATTTTTTTAGTACTTAAAAACATGAAAAATAAACATAAAAACCCTAATCTAAACTCCCTCCTATCTCACTCCACCATCGACCCTCCCCTCTCATCCGCCACCATGGATCGAAAAGCAGAGCTCCCCCTCTCCTCTGCCATCGTGGATAGCAAATCCCACAAGAACCCCATCCTCAACTAGATAAAAAACCCAATCCCCTCCCAACTCCCTCCATCTCCTCTTCCTCTGCTCTCTCTTCGCACTATTGGCCCATCTCAAAATTGGTTCTAACCATGGCCCTCCCCGTGCCTAGTGATGGCAATTTCAACCCGCCCCGCGGGTATTACCCGACCTGACCCGCGATGGGGCGGGTATTATCCGACCCGCAGTAGCGTGGGGCGGGGCGTGGGTATCTACTTCCGACCCGCCCTGCCCCGCCCCGCCCCGCCCCGTTCTAAACTCATTTTATCTCAATTTTTTATAATATCTATACATATTTTTCCTATTTTGACTTTTCTTCAACTAGTTAGAGTCGATTTTTCAACTTGTTAGCCTCAATTATCCATTCTATTATCAATATTTTTCATTCTTAAAGTGTTTCTCCCTACGTTTTATTGTAAAAAGTAAAATTTACTTGTATTTTTTTAAACAACATGTAAGAGTGGGTCGACCTGCCCCGCCCCGTACCCGCGCGGGTTTTACCCGCCCCGACCCGTAGTAGCGTGGGGCGGGGCATGGGAATTGAGGTACCCGCCCCGCCCCGCCCCATTGCAATCACTCCCTAACCATGGCTCCCGCTTCCATGGGCAACAGCTCCCCCAAGAAGTACGACGAAATCAACGACCCACCCGAGAAGAGAGCCCGCGGTATCACCATCAACACCGCCACCGCCACTGCCACTACGCCCACGTCGACTGTCCTGGCAAAACCGATTACGTCAAGAACATGATTACCGGCGCTGCATAGATGGATGGGGCTATATATGAATCTAAATCCAACCTTGATCCTCGGCGGCGACGTAGCTTCAGATCTCACGGCGGCTCGCCTCTTAAGCGGTTTCAGAGAAGGATCCATTCTCGCGATTAGATTCAATTTGTTCTCTATGTTTGGGGTTGCAGAAATAGATTTGCGATTTGTGTTGGCGGCACGAGGGCAGGGGACTTGCGACTGAGGAAGGCGGGGTGGCCCGCGAGGAATGGCGACGGCGGGGGATGTACAACCATCGACAGCCGCTGAAATATGTTGGGAAATAGGATCGAATTTGGGGGAGATTTGGAAACCAAGAAGGAGACGAAGAGTTTAGAGAGAGAGGGAGATCCATCATATCCCTTCACTTTATTTTTTCAAATTTTCATTTTCATGTTTAAAATTCTTTATATTATTATTATTTTAATATAAATTAAATGAAAAGCCACATCATAACCACGTCAGCGTTAAGTGCTGAGTCATTAACGAAAAAAATCATTGACCGTCAGTTTTAACGGTCAACTCCAACACTAGGCCAAATCTGTTCAATCATTTCAAAAGTAGGCCACAAATGTCTTATTTGAAAAATGGGGCCAAAAGTGTCACTTACGCTAAACTTCGGGCCAAATTAGGGTATTAACCCTAAAAAAAAGAAAGAATAATACAAATTGAGCATGTACCTTTAATGTCATGGCACGAATTCATTTTTATACCCAACGCAGTTAAAAATCGCTCTTTAAAACTTATAAGCTAACGGTTTTACGCTTCTAGGTTACCGCAAACCGCTTTTGTTTTCATATAAAATCTTTTGTGTATACATAAAATCGGACTAAATCGCACCATAAATTTTATAAGCTTACGATTCTACGACGCTTTCTAGTTCACTCAAACGCCTTTTACGCTTCTATCACTAAATTAGTAATCTTTTTCAAAGTTTCACCATACACAAATTCAGTTTGAACAAACTTCCTCTCTATGCTACAAAGGGAAATAATTGACCATATATTTGGTAGTTGATACAAAGGCAAGGGACTCTTCCACGACAGACGACGGATGACATGCACGTGATAAATTAAGTTTTAACCACCAAAGTCCCCCCCAATTATTTTGCTTTGTCTTCACATAATTGATTACTGACTCGTACGTTACATCTTTTTTATTTTGCAAGTTGCAGTTCCCTTGAGGCTGACTGCCATTGCTCTGGATGTGTTTACGTGTGTATATATATATATATAATACGCCGATGGAGATTCGAATCAGCATCAAAATACTCCAACCATGATTCCGGCGTCAGTGTTGGAGAACAAAACCATTCTGGTTACAGGGTCAGCTGGATTTCTTGCAAAAGGTAAGTGTACCCATTGTCAGTTAATTACAGTTGCTGAATTGGTTATGTACCGTGTTAATTGAAAAGGGGGTGGAAAAAAAAAAAAAATCTTTTCCAGTGTTTGTGGAGAAGGTGCTGAGGATTCAACCTGACGTGAAGAAGCTCTACCTTCTCATGAGAGCTCCAGATTCCCACTCTGCAGCGAAGCGACTGCGAGACGAGGTACGTACGGTACGCACGCACGTGTAGTAGGGTGTGCAACGAGTTAGTTCGGTGCTTGGTTTCCATGAATTTTATCGAATACTGAAGAAGGACGGACCGGATTGATTTTTTTGTCACTTGGATCTAGGGGTTGGCTATACGCGGTCCGGTTTGATTAAATTGGCGCCCGAATTGATCTGGTGGTCCCAGTCCGGTCTTTTTCGGGAATATAAGGACCAGAGATTGGATTGGGATACAATCCCGGATCTTTGACCCGATCCGGTCCAGTCCGGTCCCAATTCGATCTTGATTTTAGATTTAGCTTGTCGAGATTTTAGTGTCATCATGAGGCCTGAAAGGGTGAGGAGTTTGTTAAATTTTGGGTGTTGGGCTCTCTTAATTATCCGATCTTTATCCGGTTTCGGTCCGGTCTTGAACGGTTTTTTTTATACCTCAAACCGAAGCTTGAAAATTGGATTGAATTGTTTGCTATCCGGTCTCGGTCCGGGTTATACGGTCCGGTTTTTGGTTAAAACCAAAGCAGCTCGGACCAAATAGCCACCCCCTACTTTGGATCGATCCAAAGCAGACCGAATACAATGCTAGTCCGGACCTTAGTCTATATATACGTCTAATACTATTGAACCGCGGTTCTCCTAACCGGACTGGACCGTTCCACACCTCTATGCAGTACGTACGTACGTACTAAATTAGGCATGCATGCAGGTGACGGAGAAGGAGCTGTTTAGGGTTGTGAAGGAGAAATGGGGACCGAATTTCTCGAAATTCGTATCGGAAAAAGTGGTTGCTGTTGCCGGGGATGTCTCTCGCGAGGATCTGGGAATCGAGGACTTGGATCTGAAGAAGGAAATCTGGAAGGAGGCCGACTTGGTCGTCAATTTCGCCGCCACTACCCGATTTGATGAGAGGTACATCAAATATTATATTAATCCTTGACTAAATTCGTATAATATATCTATCTTATTAGTCATGTTACTCCCTTTCGACATATATATTAGGATATGTTTTCATCTTGTGTAATAATAGCATAATCTAACCTAAATCATATTTATATATTCGTCGCAGGTATGACGTGGCGCTCGCCACGAATACATACGGAGCAGCGCATGTGGTGAAGTTCACCAAAAAATGCGTCAGAATTAAGCTGCTCGTCCATGTCTCAACTGGTAATTAAGCTCCCCCTACACAGTGGCGGAACCAACGCATAAGAAGGTGGGTCCTGGGACCCACCTTGGCTTGGGAGAAAAACGTGTAAATAAAAATTTGAACCATAAACCAATCAATAGTTCGTATATCTACCATCAAACTACAACTGTATAATGACCTTATCTTATCATCATTAAATACATTCTAGTTTCAACATAAATAATATTAAAACAAAATCAAATTCCATATATCAAATTATTAATTTTCTTCTTCTCTCACAAAATCCTCCTCTTGTTGAAACTCTATAGCTTTCTTTTATCCTAATAATGAGTTATCTTGTAATGATAGCTTAGATTTGGAATCTCAACTGCATTATTATATATATATTGTGAAGACGTACTAGAGGCTCTCTAGAGCTAAATATAAATTTTGAGTTTTTTTAGATCATGGTAACTGGAAGAAAAAAAAGCAACTTAGCTTTGCCACCAGTCTTCACTGCAAATGTAGAAAAGATATTTGCAATGAACTACGTTAATTAAACACATTTTTCAATACTGAATTATTAACAAAATCATAAATTATTGTTCGCAAAAATATGAAAACACGCAATGAGACAACGTCTAAAATTATCTCTCTTATTTTTTATGGAAAATGTTTGTGACTACCTTATATAAATTTCTGACTACGACACTCGCTACGTGCTTATTTTATCTATAGTCAGTTCGTCCGGCAGATTAATTAGATGATCAGTTCCATTATATTGTCTTCTTCTTCTTCAGCGTACGTGTGTGGGGAAGAGGCCGGGATCATCAAGGAGAAGCCGGTAACCATGGCGAAAGGCGGAGACGACGACGATGACGAGCACATCTTTGAAATAGTCGACGGTGAAAGGAAGCTAGTCCACCAACGGTTGCTTCAACTCCAGTCCAATAAACAACTCTCACCGGACGGCGGCGACCGAGGGATTTCGTCTGCCATGCGGCTCCTTGGCCTTGAGAGGTATATTTATATTTGGCTTTCTATCTAAGTATTTGAATTAACAAGATTTTGGGCATGGACGATATACTATAATCTTTAATGAGTGAATTCTAGATTTTAATTTTATGAACTGTGGATCATAGAATCTTAGATGGCGTGGAATATCTAGTCTGTTGGATGTATTTCGACGAATTAGAACAATTAATTATTTTTTTCTAATTAAATAAATGTTAGCATATATGATTTAGAGAACAAGAGCGAGACTAAATTCTACTCATTCGGGTTTGGACTATAGTTCATGTCTCAAAATCCGGTTAATTCAAACTCTAGTTATATTATTTTCTTACTAAGGGTACGCATGTATATAGTTGCCTCATATGTACCCAGAGTGCTATAGTACTCGATCTCGTTAGTGTATGACAAAAAAAGGCTAGTATATATGTACAGCGTATAAATATATATATATATCTGCATGCGCTCACACCCATAAAATGTACTTCGACGAATCAGAACCGTAAATTAATTATTGTTCTCATTAATTAATTAATGTGGCTGGAAATTAATTAGGGCAGGGCATTATGGATGGCCCAACACTTACACGTTTACAAAGGCAATGGGGGAGAGGATAGTGATGAGCTTGAAGGGCGACCTCCCACTTGTAATCCTTCGCCCCACCATCGTAACAAGCACCATAAAAGACCCATTTCCAGGGTGGACGGAGGGTGTCAGGTATTTATTTTTATATATATAATTCTTGCTTCTTTCTAGCTTTTTAATGTTCCAAAAGTTGGTTTGCATTGGAGAATTCCTTAATAATAATAATAATAATAATAATAATAATAATAATAATAATAATAATAATAATAATAATAAGAAGAAGAAGAAGAAGAAGAAGAAGAAGAAGAAGAAGAAGAAGGGCATACTGTAAACTGTAAACTTTCACCATAAACATTGATGATCGTAGCTAATGTTAGGTTTCTCGAATCTTGTATGTACAGAACCATCGACGGATTCATTGTGAACTATGCTAAAGGGATAATGAAATGCCTCATTGAGAGGCCAGAAACCGTTTATGATCTGGTGAGTGGCTATGATTATTTCTATTCTTTTTTGTCAATTTTTTTTCTTCTTCTGATTGTCTTTATAATATATGACAAATGCATTTGTAATGATAATATTTTAATAAAAACGCATTTGATATTCGATATCTTTATATTTTGGATATTCGATATTTCTATATTTGTTAGATTCGAAATTCAGAATTCCAAATCTAAAATCCACGTAAAAAAGAGTAAGAAAAAAATACAATTTCTACTGAATTTATGGATTCAGTGAATCCATGGCCAAAGTTATTCTTCTCCAAATGACCCCTATACATGTAAAGTTTATAAAAAAAAATTAAGGAAAAATACAGTAGTAAGCAAGACTTTAATCCCTTTCCTAAATTACCATCATTATTCAAAGCCCTTGAGCTTATATTTTATTAGCTCCCTCGTTCATATTTCTGGCACCGTCACTATGCGCATACTAATGTTAAAATAGTCTATGCACTTAGATTTTTTTTATTTTTTTGTGTTATGTTTCATGCATTTAAAACTTCCGTTTTCATATCATTTACTAACTATGATAACAATTTTGCAGATACCAGTAGATATGGTTGTGAATTCGATTGTAGGATGTATCTGTTCAGCATTCCAGAACCAGCCTTTGGATCTCATTTATCATTTGGGCTCTTCACGAAACGCACTAACTTCATCTGATCTCCGACACTTGATGTTCATTTTCTTCTCTCGAAATCCATGGAAGGACCGCCATGGAAGGCCGATGAAAGCTAACAAGTGGAAGACATTTAGCTCCTTCAAGACCTTTCAGATTTACATGACCATCCGTTTCCTACTCCCTCTAAAGGTTTGCTCGATCAATAAATCAGGGAAAAACGAGAATATAATTTTTCATGTTCATCGATCGTGTGTTTTTTTGTTTTTTATTTTTTTGTGCAGGTACTTTGTCTCGTAAATGCAGCGCTTTGTCACAGATTCGAAGCAATGTGTGGTGAGCTCGATCGTAAGTTAAAGGTGGCGATGAGGCTGGTAAAACTTTACGAACCCTACTTGCTCTTTGTGGGGATGTAAGTTCTGCTATTGTTTTACAGCGTTACGTTCTTTCTTGCTGCCGTTTCAAAATGATTAAAAAAAAAAAGAAATGTGTCTAGCAAGTAATTGATCGATAGGAAAACACAAGTTTGAAACTTTCTTGTGTATCATGTTGATAATCATAAGCACAACCAGTGTAAGTGCTAGGGTTGTCGGTTTTCTTTAGTTCAATTCGGTTAACCGAACAGTTAAATATAAAAAAAAACTTAAAAGAATTAAGTCCCCAAAAACCGAAACCTATAAAGGGTTTATTGGTTTTGATTAATCGAAAACCGACAACCCTTTCATTTATTGGTTCAATATGAACAAACCGAAAACCGAAAACCGAATTGTCCCCACTTGCAATGCACATTATGTGTTTTCTAGGTTCTTATTGGTTTAACGGTTTAAACTAAAATAGAAAACGTTAAGCTGCTGAAATGATTTGCCACCAAATAATCAAAACCGGTAACCTTATTATTGTGTATAGACACCACTGGTTAGGGCTAAACATGATTGACATAACCTAATTAACCTTCCTTGGCTTGAATTCTTGCAGATTTGATGATACTAATTTGGAGAAGTTGAGGGCAAGGGGCAGTCAAAATGGGTGGTGGGATGCCGCGGAGATGAATATGAATGCAGGCAGCATTGATTGGAGCGACTACATCATGAATGTTCACATTCCAGGCCTTATCCGATTTGTCAAGTTCTAATTGTATTATGTAAAAAATCTATATATGAATAAGGTAAGGAAGTGTGAAACCTAGCTATAATATACATGAATTTTAGAATAATTTAAACTTTAAAGTAGGAGTGTTTTAGTATTTTGTTTTTATGGTCCAAACTAGACTTGTAACTGGAACGATGGGCCGAGCTGGGCTGTACTCCAGTTAAGGATTGGTATTTTGCGAATATGGTATCTCAAGATGTGATACTATTATGAATTGAATTATCTGAGGTTTATCATGTGGAAATTGTCTTGTTCAATTAGAACGTTCTCACAAGTTATTTGGTTGTTGCATTTCACAACAACAAAAAGAGGAGCGAAAGGATTTGCCGGACGAGTTAATTCAAATAACTATCTTCGGAGTTGTTGTTTCAATTCTGGCTAGGACGGGTGTCGTATTCACTTCAAAGACCCCTTGCTCTGAGAATGGTTTCCTGCCGCAGGCTGAAGGAGCTGCACCTCCTGTACTGCGGCGGATTGGAGACGGTCTGGTTCGATATGAGATGAAAGCATAATTTACCTGTTTGTGACTTCTTCGACTGCTATTCACTAGCTCTCCGTCACAGAAATTCTTACCCGGTCTCCGTCCTAGATCAGTTCGCGGCGGTCTTGTCTTTGCGACGGAAGCTCGAGGATCGAGGTACGAGGGCCGCGAGGAGAGCCTCGTCGTCGCTGGTCCTCTGCTTTCATTTCGGCTGGCTAGCCTCTAGTAGTTACTAGCTAGATTAACCATTACTGACTAGCTACAGGGAACTGTGTGGTGTTCTTGTCGATTGTATGATATACTTGGATACGCTAATGATATATGTTATAAGCAGAAACAGAGGCCGTTGAATTTACTTCCCCAGGTGGGTTAGAATCCTGCTGATGAGCACTTCTTTCTTCCCGGCGAGTGGGAGTTTCTGGGCAGCCAAGTAGTACTTCAGCTCCACCACGGTCAAATCCTTCAGCTGCAAAAGATTTCATTTCAAAATTGTGTGAGATAATGATGTTTTCCCAATGATGTTCCAATCGATAGTGCAACAGTTCCATCAATTGTAAACCGACGGAAGACCGAATACCAAACAGAAACGGATCGTTCTTTAAACCGAATTACGACATGTTCTGATGATGGTGTTCTTCAACCAGCAGAACAGAAAAACCGTAATGCTGCTGCTACTTGATCACACCCCAGTCTCTGAGAGCAGAGGTGGATATGATCCAGTTCAGTTTAAAATCAGAACGGATCCGAGATAGAAAATGAAGAGAAGATGAGGATCATCACCGGATAAAAAATGGATATGATACGATTAGTATCGAGGATAAATGAAAAGTGAGGATCTCAACGCGAACGATGTGTTCGATCGAATCTGGTATCGATCGTTCCTATTTTAATTTAAGGGATCCAATGAAGTCGAAACAAAATGTAGAATTTGAAAATGGAAACCAAATCTTAATTGTACTTTAGTCCGATTGAATTCGTTCTAACATCGTCAAGAAAAGGAAGAGCGGCAAGAGATGGACTCCATAGATGACGCAAAGTTTATAAGGGATCAAAAGGAGAGGAAGGCAAACCTTTCCACTGTCAGCAAGTTCCTCCCAGTCGTAGTTTTTGTATTCCTGAGCAACACATTCTGCAGCAGCTTTTCGTTTCTTTGATGCCTCGCTTTCTCGTGGCTTGTCATCTGCCTCATCATAGTCCTCTCCATAGACTGACGTCCTGAATTCTTGAATGGCCTTAGCCACTGCCGGTCTACAGGACATAAATTGAAATGAGAGATCCCGTTCGTAGATTGATCAACTCGAATTGGCAAAAACAAAGCTTTCGCGACTGACCTAGACATGCCTTCTTCATCCGGCAGTGTTTCGTCGTGAATCTCAGGCATCTCGTCTTCGTCTAGTGCCAAAGCCTGCAGCACTGCATAGTGTCTCTGCAATGCTGCAAAGAAACGATACTGTTAACCACCAGAAGCTATGCCACAAAATATATGGCATGCGATACAATGGAGACCAATCTCACGTTTAAACTAAAAATATATGAACAACATACAATTCGTTTACAGGCACGTGTACAGAAACACCAGTATGTCACTTGTAAGTACTCGTAAGGATAACGCCCTCCAGAATACATTAAGAAACATACCAGGGTTAGAAAATTGGCATACTGAAAAATCCTTCAAGTAAATACGTTTCATTAAAGCGGCAGCCTTTTGAATATGATCTTCAGTTGCTCGATGCGCTGGACGCTTGGTGGTCAACTGACTCTACAATGAAACATCAACATCATCAACATCCAAAGAATTTAAGAACCCAGTTAACAATGGAAAAACCAACTCTAAACTGTTCTTGCCTGTTCAATGTCTCTGATATCATCAGAATATGGTAGGAATATCATGTGCATGCCTGGTGGCTCAAACTGACCACCATCAGAAATTATCTCCTCCTGCAAAATTCAACAAGAGGTTAATCATCTTTGGCAATGAGATCTCAAAACGCTTATCACTATGAGTCATAAATACCAAACAATTTGTCCTGATAGCATTTTCTATTGAGTGAAAAGGCCTTAGAATCTGAGGATTCTAATGATTTGAACCTGGACTTTGCATCGGAAACTAGACAAATAAGCCATGATTATGCTGACATGTGTGACTGTTGCCATGAAAACAGCAACATTAGGCCTAAGCTTTATTTGAGATTTACCACAAACATAATTTGCCCTTAGTTGAATGCTGGGGAGCCAAGGTTTAAACATAAGCTTCCATCCAGCCTTGACCAGACATTAAGTGCCTACAAATACTGGGTCATTTCCTAACCAAATCTGCATTTTTTTAATGACGATATGCACAGAATTTTGAGCAGTCGCTTAATAAGGTTTTCTAGAGATGAACATATGTCAAAGGATTATGCAAATAACCCAACTAGGCTCTTTCATAATCTTCACGTGTGCAACTAATCAAGTCATGCAAGGGCGGGAGTCATACTTGAGCAACAAGGGCAACCAATCGAGGATTAGTTGAAAGACCATAAAATGCCAAAGCAAAACTGCAAAAGAAAGACAAGGAAAAGTTAAAATTTGAGAGACACATTCATGTCCACCAAACACCATAAATCAATGAAGTGACTGTTTGTATCAAGAGACAGAAAACATCATGCAGGGAGAGGTTTGGAACTTTAGGGGAACTTCAAATCTTCAAGCATACCACTTCAATAATGGAAAAAATCCAAAAGTACCACTGTTTAGAAAAAAATTTCCAAAAATACCACCCAACCCCAAAAAATTCCAAAAATACCACCCTTTTTCAAAAACCGCCACCCCACCCAGCGGTTTGGTCGAAAACCGCTTGTCGGGGGCGCGGTTTTGGACCAAACCGCGGGCCTAGGGGGCGGTTATAAAAAAAAAAAAAAATTGGACCAAAACCGCTGGGTGGGGTGGCGGTTTGGCCCAAAACCGCCACCCCAACCAGCGGTTTGGTCCAAAAATTCGGTCGAAACTTCAAACGAACGTAACTTTGCACTCGGGTATCCGATCGTAGCGATTCTTTTTTTTATTTCGCATAACTTTTCAAGATCTACAACTTTTACTAGGATGAAATTTTCAAAACAGGAACTATTTGTGGATATACGGGACCTTGAGAATAACTTTACCTTTACTTTTCAGAAATCCATGTACATTTTGAAATTATGATTATATTAAAAGTTGTAGATCTTGAAAAGTTATGCGGAATCAAAAAAAAGTTCATAACATTCGGAGTTTGGAGCACAAAGTTATGGCCGCCCAAAGTTTGACGAAAGGCGAGACCCGGCGGTTTGCGGCTTGCAAGATCTCAAAAAGTTTGCGGCCTCCATTTTTTGAATCCGAATCACTTTTTGAGATCTTGCAAGTCTCAAACAGTCGGGTTCCGTCTTCGTCTCGAAAAAACGTCATTTGCCACCCCGAACGGCATTTTTTTTTATTTCGTCAAACTTTGGGCGGCCACAACTTTGTGCTCCAAAATCCGAATGTCATGAATTTTTTTTTTATTCCGCATAACTTTTCAAGATCTACAACTTTTAATATAATCATAATTTCAAAATGCACATGGATTTCTGAAAAGTAAAGGTAAAGTTATTCTCAAGGTCCCGTATATCCACAAATAGTTCCTTTTTTGAAAATTTCATCCTAGTAAAAGTTGTAGATCTTGAAAAGTTATGCGAAATGAAAAAAAGAATCGCTACGATCGGATACCCGAGTGCAAAGTTACGTTCGTTTGAAGTTTCGACCGAATTTTTGGACCAAACCGCTGGTTGGGGTGGCGGTTTTGGGCCAAACCGCCACCCCACCCAGCGGTTTTGGTCCAAAATTTTTTTTTTTTATAACCGCCCCCTAGGCCCGCGGTTTGGTCCAAAACCGCGCCCCCGACAAGCGGTTTTCGACCAAACCGCTGGGTGGAGTGGCGGTTTTTGAAAAAGGGTGGTATTTTTGGAATTTTTTGGGATTGAGTGGTATTTTTGGAATTTTTTTTTTAAACAGTGGTACTTTTGGATTTTTTCCTTCAATAATACCACATGAATGGTGCTAAATTGCTAATCACCCATCTAACAATTCAGTGGTCAAAATGATAAAAATATTTATTCCCATTACAAACCACAAGACTGCACAAGAGCCATAACATGCTTTGAAAGGATGTATTTATGTTCTTCAAACGATATCATGCCAAAAATGATATTTCCAGTGTAGCTATTCATACAACATAGTACATATTTGTGTATGTTACCACAGCATGAAAGACACTAACCGCTGATTTCGTATCATTGCTCGGTGCAAGGCAACAAAAGCACAAGTGCTACCTATCACTTCCTGCCATAGCAAAGGATAAAAGAAGGTTCATACCATAAATCTACAACACCGGAATATCAGACAGCTGGTTGAACAAAAATGACTTTTTAAACATTGGGTAAAAGCTTAAACAGAAAGGACTTGGTGAATAATACAAAATATGAATGTAAAATTAAATGAAAATGAAGATAAGAGTAAAACTTTGCATGGTTGGTTTGTGTTACCAAAGGTATATAAACTGGGCTTACCAAGGGTAACAAAGAATAACAGAGTTTAAACAAACATTCCCACGTAGCCCATTGAAATCCTTCATAATTCTATTCTTCAATCGAAATAGCAGCATTGTAAGTGGGTGTAAATAAGATAGAGAAGAACCTTGTCACTCGGAAATACAAATGTAGAAGGTTTTAGATTGTGATAGTCTTTCAAGCAGCTTAGAGGCTTGAATCCAAGAAGACGCAGATGTCCTGTTGAAACTCTTTTGATCTCCCTCAACTCCTCCTCTGAAAACTTCACATCCTCACTAAATTGAAATTGAAAAGTTTAGGTAAATATAACAGCAAGCAACCACCATGTTTAATAGCCAACCATATCTGAGGCAGTTTAGATAGTTAACAACTTGTTAGTGATGGGAAAGATGGACCCTAGAGTGAGTTTTTTTTCCCACGCCACTTTCCTACTCAGTTTCTTCCCAGAAAGAAAAAAAAGAAAAACAAGGAAGGTCCTATTAGCTCTAAAAACAACAAGAAGTACCCGCAGAAAAGAAAAAGCAAAAGATATTAACACTTTGGATACAAATATTGGAGACTTGGAGTAGGATACAATCAAAATTAGAAAGCAAGTAAAGATTATAAATTAAACAACAGGAACTTAGGAAACAAGGTTCACATTTGAATGCTTCTCGGTGAATTGACGCTTTCTTTATGAATATTTGAGCCTAGAAGGTAAAAGCTTATCTAGATAAACATAAAACAAGGGCAAAAGATAGAGGTTGTCTTTCACACAGATAACAGAAAAGAGCATCTAGAAATGGCTATATGAAAATATTAAACTCAAGTGGAACTCACTTCTTATACGGCTGATAGCGCTTCAGTGGTCCCTGCATCAGTGCACCAGTATCGGCACAGATGAAAGACCTTTCTGCCTGCAAAATGTCAACATATACTATAATTATGAATTGCTTGTATGCATATGCTGCCCCAACTTATACATGCTTTCCTCATTGCAAGATTTCATATCATGGTAGACAATATTGAGGGAGCAAGAAGAATATAAAATCTTCCATCAACACCATCTAAATCCTCCCCCCCCCCCCCCCCCCCCCCCCCCCTAAAAGGAAACTCAAAAAGAAGATTTTGGTGTAGTATAAAAGTGTACAACAAGCATCATTAACACTACTATAAACATTTTAGATGCCGCATCTCTAACACGACTATGCATACATGCCTCTCAGACATAATTGCAATAGGGATATTCAAATGGTCCAGTGTTACCTTCAAAGGACGATTGGTTACTGAATCCAGCCACGTTATTGCCCCTAAAAACCAAATGCAAAAGAGCAGTTATAAGGCACATTGCCTTCGACTGACGTAAAGGATGAAACAAAAACAAAACATTGCCTCCCACTTAGACTCTTGGACCTCTAAAGTGTCATTCAAAACATGAAGTACCTGGTGCTGTAGGGCGTATTAAAGCATACGTATGCAGGTCAATTGACAATCCATTTGTAATTACGAACTTGATTCGTTTAACTATCCGCTTCGCAAACATCCGTTTTCTTAGTTGATTTTTCATATCTTCCAATCTGGCACAAGAACAAGGAAATTAGAGAATATATTAGATATCTCTGGTGCTGGGCTTCTCTTATTCTTCAGTAAGAATTTCCTTTTATAAACAGAAAAAGGTTCTTTTTTCCTTGAACACTGTCCTCTCGCAAAGTTTAAGTTAAAAAAAGACTGCAGAATTTCATACTTCTGCCCTGCAGACGGCATGTATTCAATAAGATCATCACCTTCCAGTCCAATCAAATCCTGGGAAACAGAAAGCCCAACGTCAAATGTGGATAACCTGGAAGTTGTCTGGTCTTTTATGGTGAAGTGAAATAGCAAATTGACAAATCCAAAAGTAGCAATGAGCATACAGCATAGAAAATCGAAACTTTGAACTCCTCATCTGGTCTGCTAAAGGGAAGTAGTTCAATTGAGATGCCAAGATCTTGTGCGTCCTGAATAAAATGCACCAGTAAACTCCATTGGCTATTGATAATTGCCATAAGCTAGTGAATTTCGAAGCATTTAGAATTTGGGATTATACTTTAGCTCGCTGCAAGGTGGTTCGTATCATATCTGCTTTAGCTATACCACTGATATTCCTGAATGGATCGTCTTCATTTGTAAGCAGAAGTATCCTTTTTTCAGCTGTCTTAGTAGATCTGCAATTGTAACATCCCGATTCATTAGTGTAAACCATGCATAATGCTATCTTGTAAAGTGAATTCTCCCAAGACGTTCAGCACAGTGCAGAATAAATTTAAGTATGAAACCACAAATAACAACTGTTACCCTTTGCGAAGTAACGCTTGTGCCACCCAAAGAGCATTGTAGAGTGAATTCTCCCAGGAGCCAGATACAATACCATATTGACTGCCAATCTCTTTTGCAAATGATTCTGCTAGCAGAAATAGTACAAAGATTTCAACTCAATATATCCATTCTCCATTCTCCCAAACATATAAATGTCACTTGTGTGTGTGTGTTCATGAGACATTCTTTTAGGCTTTGATTATAGTATTTCCAAATAGGGACGTAACTGGTGTTTTAACGAAAGGTCAGGGCGATAGAATTGCAAAATCACTTAAAGTAATAACAGCCGTTATTTCTGAGAGAAAAAACAAATGTTTCCAAAATATCCACTCCCAAAGAACTGAAGAGGTTTCTAGCACAACCAAGTTTTTTTTGGTAAAACCAGGTATGTCTTCTACACCATAAAAAAGTGCAGCAAAAACTATGAAATTTACAAGAAGCAAGTCCATTGGTTTAAGAAAACCCTGAGACTTACCCTCGACACAACCAAACTCTTTTATAAGTCTCGCTGTTGGCCTATCCAAATGCTCTCTCTCAGCAACATCAAACACGAAAACACCACTGAGATCCTGCGAGTTCCTCTTCTCCTTCTACAAATTGATCACAAGTAACAAATAATTGAGGGGACATTAAGCACAGTATCCAACTTCTTTGTTGAAAGACCAGAACAAGGAATTGAGCACCTCCTTAGCAAGGAATACGATCCAGAATTAGACATCACCAACAACGATTCAGTAGAGCAACATCTTACCGTGTTAAAGAAGCAGATAGCAACTTCATTATACGTATTATTAATAATATGCGTCTTCAGCGCCTGTGCCACAGAAGTGACTGCTATGTGGAAGTGAGTCTCATTCTCCCCGTCTGCCTGTCAATGGCAGCCAATATAAGGAAACTCGATTGATCACATTACAGCAAGAACCAGTCAAGTCAACTGCAACACCGACTACAACTGATTCGATCTGAAGAGCCCACGCCTTCTCCATACCTTCAAATTTTCCATTTTAAGTAACAAAGTGACAATACACAATAGAAAGAGGAGAAAAGGTCTCAAAGAACAAAACCAGACTACTCTACCTAATTACTTGCATCGATGTCCTATAAACTACGAATTGGAAGGCTAGAAAGTCTTAAATTCGAACAAATTCTGGCAGAAAACAGCCAGCGGTGGCAGTCACTCCCGCGAGTTACAGCAAAATAACAGTAGTAAATAGTAGTAGTAGTCGGAGGGGAGAAACGAACTCACTCCGGGACAAGTGGCGGTGAACATCTTCGGAGAAGCGTCGATGAGATACACGACGAACTCTTTGGTTGAATCCCTAAGCTGCGCGAACGAGAAATCGGCGGCGAGGCGATGAGTATATCAGCGGGAGGAAAAAAGGAACAGACGGAAATGAGAGCGAGTAAACTGCAAAACTGACCTGGAAGAATTCGCTGTCTTCGTCGTCTTCATCGTCCTTGAATACGTCTTCGGGGTCCAGATCCATTTCTTCTTCGCTCTGAGTTTTTTACGGCGGTTGATGATCGAAGAAGACGACGGTGTGGAGGAGAGAAGAAAAGCTTGCTCTGGAAGCTGTCTCCCGCCGCGGCCTTTTAGCTTTCTACTGGAAAAATTCGAATTTCGAGGTATTATGTCTGCTGTGGAAAGGAAAGGAGAGAACGGTTAATCTCAAACGCTGCCGTTTTCAAGCGAGTCGTTTCTTGGGCCAAATCAGGGAGGAGTACAAATTTGGGCCAAATCAGTAGATCAAATTATGAGCCCAATTAATAGCTGCGTGGTGGCCCAACATGTACACGCTCTCCACCACCATCGCCGTCGCCGAACGCCATACGACCTCCAACTCTTTTCTCGTACCTTCTTCTTCTTCAGTTCATCTTTCTCCCCGTCGTCTTCGAATTCTCGCCGAACTCTGCCGCTATCCGCCGACCGTTTAACCTCTTGAAAGCTCGGAAGCCGAAAAGCTCTCTTTCAGAGCTGCTAAAATGGCGACTGTGATGCAGAAGATCAAGGACATTGAAGATGAGGTAACACAATAATAATAATGGCGCCTAAGTGTCTTCGCCATGCCTGTCAAATAGCTCAAAGGATTCTCCAGTTCATCTGGGAATAGTATTTTCTGCTTCGCTTGAAATCTAACTAACTAGCTAGCTTACGACTTCCCTTTTTACTCTAAATTGATGGATTTGAAATTTTGGGTCTTAATTTGGTTTAGATTATGAATAACGGTGGGGAATTTTTTTTCTTCTTCTTTTTCCATGGTGTAATATGCAGATGGCGAAGACTCAAAAGAACAAGGCTACTGCCCATCATCTTGGCTTGCTCAAGGTACCTGAAAGTTTCTTCTTTTTATAATGTTTAAGTAGGGGCAGAGCCACAAAGGTATGCAACTTGATGTGCTCTCATAGTACTGAGGTGCAGAACAAGCTTAATTGATTCTTCATTGCTGAGGTTTCGGTGGTGGGTGTTTCCTGTGGAAGAATGGAGCTTTTGTGTCTGCTTATTGTACTTTATATCTCATTCCTTTGTACTTAGGAGCTGGACAAAGAAATGAAGTTTGTATCTTGGATTCATTGTTCGTTCAACTGTTAGAACTCGTACATTTCAGCTGTTGATGGACTGTGGTTCTTTTTTCTGTGATTTAGTAACTTCCTCGGCATGCGTTTGAGCTGTTAGGCTTGTATTCTCATTTGTTTTACTTTACTGACTCCTAGCTGATTGTGGTCTCATAGGGTTATAACGTTATTTAATATTCTTCTTACCTTTGTCCTGTCCGAATTGTTTTAAGAGTTTGATGTAGTTTATGCCGTACGCCTGCTGTATGTTGATTTTCAGGCTAAGCTAGCAAAGCTCCGCAGAGAGCTACTTGAGCCTCCATCGAAAGGAGGTGGTGGTGCTGGCCAAGGCTTTGATGTGACTAAAAGTGGAGATGCCAGAGTTGGTCTCGTGGGGTTTCCTTCAGTCGGAAAATCTACCCTTCTGAACAAATTAACTGGGACTTTTTCAGAGGTACGGTGTAATTCGTGTTACTTCCCATTCAGAATGCATTTTTCTTGTCAGGAAACCAGTGAACTTTCCAGAGGCTGACATTCCTTCCAATTTTATCACCTTCAGGTTGCTTCCTATGAATTTACTACTTTGACTTGCATCCCTGGTGTTATCGTGTATAGGGGAGCGAAGATTCAGGTACATTACTTTCTACAGTGTTGTCGAATATTAAGATTCATATATATCTGGGAATGAGTTATGACCTTAAGTTGTGTAATTTTCATGTGGTCAGCCATTGGGGTACTTTGCCTGGTACATCTTCCACCCAGATCAGTTTGTTTTGGCTAGAATAGCTGTAGGGAGTCTTTACCTATTCAGAATAGCATGCCTGTAACATTGTTCTATTTTTCCCCGCATCTAATCCAAATATGACCTTCAGCTCTCTGAGGGTCACCTTGCCTGGAAGATCCACTGTGTTTCTTTCTTCTTCTTTTTGTTTTTGTTCCCCCTATCTTTTCACTGCTTTTTTCAATTGCTTTCTTTAGTAAAAAATAACAAAGAGGATGAAACTACACCTGTTATTGGTTATTTCAGTTGCTGGATCTCCCTGGTATTATTGAGGGTGCTAAGGATGGAAAGGGTCGAGGAAGACAGGTAAACATTTTTCTCCTAGTTTATCTAACTGATACCCTCATTCAGCATATGTGTTGATTGTACGGGTAGCTGCATTTATCTTGTTTGTCAGTACACGTTACTCTTCTCTATGTGATATAATGTTCGTTAACTAAGCATTTTTTCTTTAAAGCATAGGCCGCTTATAGTGTTTAATGGTAGATGTTGAGAGTTACAGTGTATTGCACTATCATGTTTATGGACAAAGATGTGCTTTGGAGTGTATGCTGTAGTCTTTGTAGTTAGGTTGTGTGATACCCTTCGCGAATCAACAACCCAAGCAGAGCTTTGAGTGTTGCCTTCTGTTTTATTTAAAGGTTGTTCCTCTAGTCTCAAGGGCATTAATATTCCATTGTTTAGTTATAATCCCCTGATGATTGGTTGTAGTCATTTCACACTTCTACATTTTGCACTCAACTTTCTTTTGGGACTTCTACTTTATGTACTCTTGGCTCTCATTTTTATATATGGTACCACCTGGATGAGTAATGTGAAGCTGCAAGTGAAATGCAGGTGATAAGTACTGCCAGGACATGCAATTGTATCATAATTGTTCTTGATGCAATTAAGCCAATAACTCATAAACGTCTTATTGAAAAAGAGCTTGAAGGTTTTGGCATAAGGTAATAACAAAGTACCATTGGTCTCTTATGTATGTTTTTGTATGTTTGTTTAAATTTGAAGTTCCTAGATAGGGACTAGTTTCCACTTTTTTGCTCCGAAGATTCTGGTATTGCGACTTCTATGGATGCATGTGGGATCTTCACTCTGTAGTTGTCTAGGAGAGGGAAACAGCTATATACAACGGTCTTGCTATATCAATCCTCTTTGGCAAATGAATAACATCATGAAAAGCTCTTTTGTCCTTTGTAAAACAGGTTAAACAAGGAGCCACCTAATTTGACATTCAGAAAGAAGGATAAGGGTGGGATTAATTTCACATCAACAGTTACCAACACACATCTTGATCTTGAAACCGTAAAGGCAATATGCAGCGAGTACCGAATTCACAATGCTGATGTTACTTTGAGGTTTGATGCAACGGCTGATGACCTGATCGACGTCATTGAGGGCAGTAGGGTATATATTCCATGTGTCTATGCCCTGAACAAAATCGATCAGATCACTCTTGAAGAGCTCGAGATTTTGGATAAACTTCCTCACTATTGCCCAATCAGGTAAAATTTTATTTCCCTGCTGCCTAACTTTTCTTTTTTCAGTTTTTCATTATGCTTCATTCTGGTTGTATGATAAGACTGGATATTCTCGTATTGCCGGCCTTGAACATCTTAAACTTGACTGATGCACGGGATTGTAGCGTGCTATGGCTAAGAATTGGATATCTTGCCTAACTGCTATTTTTAATGCTAAGCTAGGTTTAGTGCTATAAGAGGTGAAACATTAAGGGATTGCTATGATGTTGGATTTGGTTTATGAACTTCTGCACCAAATCTTATGTTTTGTCCAAAATTCTTGTCCTCAAATTTCTTTGGTGGGGTTTTCTTTCTTGCTCATTTTGCTGGACAGTGCTCACCTGGAATGGAACCTTGATGGGTTGCTGGACAAGATATGGGAGTATCTAGATCTCACTCGCATATACACAAAGCCCAAAGGGATGAACCCAGATTATGAAGACCCTGTGATCCTCTCATCAAAAAAGCGGACTGTGGAGGACTTTTGCAACCAGATTCACAAGGATATGTCTAAACAGTTCAAGTAGTGAGTATCTTGTCAATTCACTTTTTTATTTTAGACATACTTTACCATGAAAATAAAACACTTGCTGCAAACCGTGCTTTTGTGGGGAGCGGATGGGTTCCGTGTAGTTCTCATTCTTCATTGTGAAGTTCCCTTTTTGTACCCTTAACTCAATTACACCCAGGTGAACAAGTAGCTGTAGTCATGGATCTTCTGTTTAGGCAAATGGTACTTGTTTTAAGTTTCCCGTAGCCCATATGTTTTCGTCACTTAACATGGTTTGCCATTATTCCAGTGCATTAGTATGGGGATCCAGCGCCAAGCACAAGCCACAAAGAGTTGGAAAGGTACACATTTCTGCCGAGCTGCTCCTCATTCCACCAAACAAGTTCTTTTTTAGTTTGCATGCTCACGAGGCTTGACTTTGATTCTTGCGGAACTACAGGAGCACGAGCTGGAGGATGAAGACGTGGTGCAGATTATCAAGAAGGTGTGAGGAAAGGCACGGATCCGTTGCTACCTTGTTATTATGTCATTACCGAGTAGTGAGGTTACTGTGAAAGAGCTATGAAATTCGGAAAACCAATCAAGATGAGCAGGATGAGTGTTTCTCTACTTGGTTAGTTGGCGCGGTCTAGTGTTCAAACGATAGAGGCTCCTGATTTACCTGTGTGTTTGCTGAAGTGTATCCAGATCACCTTGTGATGGATCAGACATTTGGTACACTGTGGATGCAAGACCAGACATGTAAAATTTTGATATAAACAGGGATGCATATGAACGTTGAAATGATCTTCTGTTGTGTTCCACTCTTCTGGCTCGACTTATTTTCCTGTCGAGACGATGGGGTCGAGGGCTATATGGTTGAATTAGTGTCTGCATATCGGACTCGTGGTTGACTTGGTCCAATGTGTCGTAAAAAGGTCGAATAAACGTACTAGGATTATTATGGGGTTCACGTTAGTTTGTTACTGCACATTTGCCTCATGTTAACTAGGCTTGATGCTAAAGAGATCAAGTACGAGTTGCGTATTGATCAGTTCGATAGACTTGCGAGTTGGTTTAACTAACATGATGACTCATTGAGCTCAGGTTGTCAATTATGAGGAAATTATGCCAAGACTACCATGTCTCTTTCCCCTCACGGAAAGACAACCCTCGCTTCAAGCTTTGAGTTCCATTGAACTCTATTCATTAGCTTACCCAGTTGCTTGGATGATGAAGTTCTTTTCCTTTGCATGAAGAAGTAGCGAAATACCAAGCCCAATACCAAAAGGCCGATTGGTATCCCGTGAGACAAATAACCCGAGCCCAAAGCAGAGATCGAGCTTGGTAATCGATTCCAGGCACTGCTCTGTCGGGATCCAGCAAACCACTGAACCGTCGACTGAGTGCTTCACTCAAAGTCTCAACCTTGATGCCCTCAGTGCCGCCGCAGGCTACAGTGTTATTTGTGTTTCAGTGTTGGGTTCCGGATTCGATTTCAAGTTCGCATCTTTCATTCTGGGTTCGCAGGCGAGACGGACATTTTGGCTGATAGAGCTTTCTATGGTGTTGAGCTGGTAGTATCTATTGATGGCTGTCACTGTCAGGGTGTCTCATTGCCAGTTCTTTCAATTCAACCCAGTTCAGCAGCTCGGCATGGCTAGGACCATCCATCCAAACTGCTCTCTGTTTCATTTGCGAAGAAAAACCGGTATGACTGAATTCCCTTATTCTTCTGCTGCTACTCTCTCGTCTTACTTCGCCTCCAATTCAACTACTCCTATTACCTCCAATTCTGTAACTTTCGCAAGCGTAGATGATGCCCTGGAATCATTTAATAGGATGCTCCACATGAACCCCAGACCCTCGGTTGTGAAATTTGGTCAGTTGGTGTCATCTCTTATGAGAATGAACGCCTTCCAGGCTGCCTTCTATGCGTCTAAACAAATGGAATTAGCTGGAGTCCCACACGATAGTTACACACTTAGCATGATGCTTCGTTGCTTCTGCAAATTGGGTCGAGTGGATTTTGGCTACTCAGTTTTGAGCAAAGCTCTGAAACTCGGTATTCAATTCAATGATGTGATGCTCGGTACAATGATTGACGGGCTCTGTAAAGTTGGGGAAGTAATCGAGGCTGCAAGGTTGGTTTATAAGTTTAGGATTTTGGGGTATCAACCGAATGTGCACTGTTATAACATAATTATAGATGGATTGTGTAAGGTAGGGAAAACGAGTGCTGGACTTGAATTGCTCAAAAACATGAAGGAGTTCGGTTGTCAACCTGATGTGGTTAGTTATAACACAGTCATTAGTAGCCTTTGTAACGATGGAATGATATCGAAAGCTTTAGATGTGTTTTCCGAGATGGAGGAGAAAAAGATTCAACCAAATGTGTTTGCTTACAATAGCTTGATTTATGGTTTGTGCATTTCAAGTAGAATCAATGAAGCTATGGAGTTGTTCGATAAAATGGTAGAGAGGAAGGTCATGCCTGATACATTCACCTATAACATATTGGTTGATGCTTTCTGTAAGATTGGAAATGTTTTGGGAGCTAAAGTTATACTCAAATTGATGATTCAAAGAGGGTTGCTTCTGGATATCATCACTTACAGTTCATTGATGGATGGGTATTGTTTGCGTAATGAATTAGACAAAGCTAGAAAGTTATTTGATTTCATTATCAATAGGGGATGCAAACCTACCGCTTACACTTATAATATTATGATTCATGGATATTGTAACAATAAAAGGATGGGTGAAGCAGAACAGTTATTGAATAGTATGCTTGAGAAGGATTTGGTTCCGGATACGGTCACGTATAATACTATGATAAATGGATTTTGTCAAGTTGGGAGGCTTAAAGATGCCCTACAAATTCTCAAGAAAATGAGTGGTGAGGGTTGTTCCCCGGATATCATGACATACAATAGTTTGCTTGATTACTTGTGTCGACGAGGTAAAATTGACGACGCATTAGCTTTGTTTCAAGTAATAGAAAGTAGGTTGAAGTCTGATGTTGTGGGATACAATATACTTTTGGATGGACTGTGGAAAGCAGGGAGGGGAGAGGAGGCAAGGGAATTGTTTTCTAGGCTCTCTAGAGACAATTGTTTGCAACCTGATACCCACACATATAATATAGCAATTAATGGACTTTGCAGACAAGGTTTTGTGGATGAAGCATTTGATTTGTTTAGGAAAATGGAGGGGGATAGATGTCTACCAGACAATTGCTCTTATAATGTGATTATTCATGGATTTCTTCACCATAAGGATCCGCTTGAAGCAATGGACCTCATTCACGAGATGGTTTCGAAAGGCTTCTCAGTCGATGCAATCACTATATCTTTGCTAATAGAGTTGATGCCCAAGAATCAGTTGGATCATCCAATTTTCCAGAAGCTGATGAGTGGTCCTGATATCAAGAGTCATAGAATTGGGTCCGGCGGTCTATCAGCTGCTACAACTCAAGGAACTTGCTGAAATTCTTATCCAAACACCAGTTGGATGGTCCAGTAGTTGATCAAAAGCTCCTGGTGTCAAGAACATTCTGATGGTAGAAGGTTAAATGAACTAAAGGTCCGAGTCATGATCCTTGCCGTCCCACTTACATATGTGTTTCCGTACTTGCTTATATTATCAGAAAGAACCAATCAATGCTAGCATGGGAATAGATGATGATCCATGCCTGATGCATTAGTGTGTTTTCAAGCTAGTTGTGATTATTGTTTAGAGATATGAATGAACGCAGCTCGCTTGTTTAGTAGCATAACTACATATTTGCCCCAAAATCTCTTGAATGGAACTCTTGGGTTCTGCTGTTGTCAAGAAGAATCAATGCTTTTGGTTACCCATTTTGGACTTTGTCCTCTGAACAGAACAGTTATCAGCCTCCCATCCCTCTAAGAACAATGCTTGTGTTTGGAAGAAGGTATGACTTTGATCGCCGTTCAACTATTGATCTAGTCTTATTCTTCCCTTCTACTTTGGATTGGATATTTGGTGCAAGTATCATGCATATATGTCAGAAGAGGCTTATTTTTTTCGTCCACAATGCATCAAGAAGTGAATCCAAATGAGCTCTTTGCAATGAATGTAAGAATTTTATATAAGCTGAGAAGTACAAAATGTTTTGAGCACAGGTATTCTCCATAGTCCATTCTGAGAAAACATGTTATAGGTACTTGGCAGAGGCTGGCGACGACGACAGTGATGTCATCGGTCTTCCCTCCACATAAAGGCAACCAATGCTTCAAGATGAAGTTGCAATCCTCTAGGAAAAAGGAACTCTTAGACTGAGAGCTGGGGAAAAGTTTTAATGTGACTTTATTTTCCATCACTGATTAGTGATTACATCTCACTTATTATTTAATTACTAGTCTAATTATGAATTAAGCATGGTAGGGAATGGCAATGGGCAGGTTAAGTGGGTATCGCGATATGTGGTTTGTGGCAGGTTGAGTCCAGATAAAATATTTTATTTAGGGGCGACGTATTAAAAGGAAACACTTAAAATATACCGATTCGATCCGAGATCTCGGAATTGGATAATAACAAAACATTGAACTATCAAAAATAATAATTATAACAGAACATTGACGAAATTTAAAGGATAATAAATAATTATTAGTCAAATTTTCCCCAGATTTTTATATATTAGTCAAACCTATTGAATTATTTATAATTAGCCAAATGTAGTGGGTCAAAATCAAAACGTCACCTCCGGCTAAAAGGAAACGAGGTCAAGAGAGCTTGTGAGTGATGAAAGGTTCAATCGGCGACTCACTAATAACGTTCTACTTTCGAACCCGGGACGCTACCTGCGATTATTCTTAAATATATGGGCTTAAGCATAGGAAGGCAGGCCCCGAAGAAGATTACAAGCCCAATAGAAAAAGTCCCCAATGTCAAAAGCCCGCAGCCATACGGCGACACAAATAACCAGGGCCCATTTAAGCTTGGATATACGTTCCAGCCACTGTTGCCAACCCAGCAACTTAACCCGTTAACCGTTGGCCGAGTGCTTCGCAAAGTCTCAACTCAACCTTCTTTGTCTCCCCGCCGCCGCCGGCGTCACAGTTGTTTGTGTTTCAGTCCAGTTTTCTGGTTGGGTTCCGGATTCGATGTCAAGCTTGCATCTTTCATTCTGGGTTCGCGGTGGAAATTGATTTAGGCAGTATCTATTGATGGCTGTCAGGGTCCCTCATTGTGAACGCTTTCAATTCAAAGCAGTTCAGCAGCTTGGCATGGCTAGGATCATCCATCGAAACTGCTCTCTATTTCATTGGCGAAGAAGAAAATCCGGTATTCTTCTGCTGCTATGACCCGCAATTCAACTACTCCTATGACCTCCAATTCTGTAACTTTCGCTAGCGTAGATGATGCCTTGGATTCATTTAATCGGATGCTCCAAATGAATCCCAGGCCTTCCGGTGTCAAATTTGGTCAGTTGGTGTCATCTCTTGTTAGAATGAAGGCCTTCCAGGCTGCCTTCTATGCTTCTAAACGTATGGAATTAGCTGGAGTACCACACGATCGTTACACACTTGGCTTGATGCTTCGTTGCTTCTGTAAATTGGGTCGAGTGGATTTTGGCTACTCAGTTTTGAGCAAAGCTCAGAAACTCGGTATTCAATTCGACGATGTGATGCTCAATACATTGATCGACGGGCTCTGTAAAGTTGGGAAAGTAATCGAGGCTGCAAGGTTGGTTCATAAAATTAGGATTTTGGGTTATCAACCGGATGTTTTCACTTATAACATTATTATAGATGGGCTTTGTAAGATAGGGCAAACGAATGCTGGACTTGAATTGCTTGAAAACATGAAGGAGTTCGGTTGTCAACCTGATGTCGTTAGTTATAGCACGGTCATTAGAAGCCTATGCAATGATGGAATGGTATCTAGAGCATTGGATGTGTTTTCCGAGATGGTGGAGAAAAAGATTCAACCAAATGTGTT